TGAGCCCGGAGCGTGGGATCGAAGCAACGTACACGTGTATTATTTCGTCAATTGGTTTGTTTCCATTTATCACCATCCTAATCGATTTTCGTCCATCTACACAATCGACAAGTTCGAAGGCGATTCATGTACGCTGCAATAGTGCGGTATTCTATCAACACACACAATCACCGTTGACCGTGCGGAGGTTAGAAAAATCGTAAACTCGTCTGCGATTTGAACACGCCAAACGATATAGACGAGAGAAAACCGAGAAGAAGCGAGTTTCGATCAAGAGTTCGAGAAGTGGATTACACTTCACATTAAAGCCATAGAATAGGACTGAGGTGGAGGTCAGTATGCCTAACACTTCCACATGCTTAAGACTTCGATATTCTCGCTATCATTCGGATCAACAACCTGAACAATTCAATATGTGCTTCATTTTTGTGGTACCTTGCATGGCTCTGATCCACGATTTTAGAAAACTCTTTCAGTTCCGCTCCTATAGCCGCCTTTTTTTGGTTTAGCTCTAAGATAGTAAGTCCATTTCTGCTTCTTTGTGCTTCATTTTCAAACGGGAAGAGAGTAGTACGAGCCAAAATGTCATAAGCTAGTGAAGTTGCCGGCGATCGACTGGCCTCAAGGTCGTCGAAAAGCAAATCACTGATGCAAAGCTGTAGCTCCAAGCCGATGAACATTCAATTTCGAATACGCGAAAACTGACCATTCTTAGGACCAATACGCCTAACGACATCAACGTTTACCACTCTCTATTTATCATACAAAGGATGAAAGTTCCCTGTGGTAAACCAGCAAAAAAGAACTTGCTGCAACTAAATTAGGGAGAGAAAACACTGATTTAAATGATACCTTTTCCACTACGAACTACTCATTGCAGCTCGAACTCACCACCTCACTGGCGACAGCGGGTAACAAAATCCTTTCTAAGGCTATGAAGAAAAACGTTATCGAACTCTTGAACTTATCAGAAATTGCTCCATTTAATTATATGCTACTTCCCTTTTTTGCAAAGAAAAAGAAGGTATAATCACAATCTTAACTCTTTTATTTACTGCCTTTTTCTTCTTAATGGCAGGTTAAGTTGCGAAATATAACTCGTATGAAATGCTGAGATATTTGCAAAACTCCGGACCACAGGTGTATGCAGTGGAGAACGAACACGCCCTGTTGTCCTTACCGGGGAGCAGCGCACTTCACCACTACACCATCCGGGTCCTACGCTCTGCGTGTATCTCAGCTACTTCTATCGATCTTTTTTGCCATTATTTCGCAACATAACCTGCCATTAAGAAGAAAAAGGCAGTAAATAAAAGAGTTAAGATTGTGATTATAACTAAGCCTCAGCTTAACTGGGTTCAATGCCGATATTGGCTCCCCAGATCAACCCCGTTGACGGGTGATTGCTGATGGCAAAAAAGATCGATAGAAGTAGCTGAGATACACGCAAAGCGAAGGACCCGGATGGTGTAGTGGTGAAGTGCGCTGCTCCCCGGTAAGGACAACAGCGCGTGTTCGTTCTCCACTGCATACACCTGTGGTCCGGAGTTTTGCAAATATCTCAGCATTTCATACGAGAAAAAGAAGGTAGTTCGAATTCTCTGAAGAGACGGCACTATGTGCACTTTCATTATTTTTTATTTACTGGTTACTCTTCTTTAATGGCAGGGTATTATGCGAAATATAACCATAATGATGCTGAGTTTACAAAACACAGGACAGCTGGTGTCTGCGGTGGGGACGGAACACACTATTACCCCTTCCAGAGGCCTAACGTGTTCTCCACCACACCATACGAGTTCTTCGTTTGGTTTCTCTCTCAACCGTGTTATTGACCTATGAACGCTACCAGCATCGCGCGGATGAGAGAAAGGCGAAAGGAAGGACACGCATGGTGTGGTGCTGAACGCGGAAAAGGATAATAGCGTGTTCGGTTCACACCGCAGACACCAGCGGTCCGGAGTTTTATAAATATCTCAGCATCACTATGGTTATGTACACTTTCTCAACAAGCCTCCTTTAGGTGTCGAATAAGACATAAACCTAGGTGTCGAACAATTCTCGGTGCATTCGCTTACCTTTAGTTGACTGCGTGACGTACTTACCCTTTCTTTTAGCTGGATCCTGGAGAAGTAAGTCCTCCATGGTTTCGCGGTCGACGATGGCTTAATACACTTTACAGATAATAGATGCATGCCCTGTCAATCCTACCCGAGTAACTAGACATCCATTTTCTAACAAATTTGAATATTTTATCAACATATTGGCCCATATTTACGAGGAATCGTGTGGGATGCAACACAGTTTGGCTGCTAATTTTTCGGTTGGACGAGATTGTCGTTATATGAGTCTTGGAATAGCCATGCGAAGGCTTTGCCAAGTCTTAATGACAAGCGGTCATCAGGGCTTGTGAGGTGGATCCTTGAGTCTAGGTTCCCATATAGATGAAAATGATTCGCAGCCGTGGCCAACTTTTAGGTGGGATTCAGCTCGGATGTGTGGAACTCCTCATCCTAAGAGATGTTGCTGGAAGATGAACATCCCTCTGTATATCATACTAAGAACACCCCTAGGCGCATTACGATTCACTTTTTTGTCGAAGATTGAAGATTCAAACGCTCTCAAGGAAAATTTTGTTCGAACGACTCTTTTTTACTAAGAGAATTTAGCACTAACTAAACAATGGTGAAAAGGAAAAATAAGAAGTCACTTCACTAGTTATATGATGGTGAAACTAGGTGGAACTTAGTCAAACAATGATGTGAATACAAACGACCATTTGACAAGGTCAAGAGGAACAATAACGATTGTGTAAAGTGCATCACCTGACATCATGGAAGACCGTGCTTTGTCAGTGATCGCGATCGCACCAAATTCTCGTGAATCTTGTAGGAATCGAAACTCTTCTGTTTGAAAAGTGAAAGCAACGTATTTCACTTATCGAACTTTCAACTAGTTGTTCAACTCAGATATCTCCCAAGTCGGAAATTATGGAGCTAAGGGTCAAATCGACACCCAATTTGAAGACATTTGCAAGAATTTAGTAGTTGAAATTAACCATTCAAAAGTGTGCTCTCTTAGTACGGAAATCTCTTTTAGACACATGCATCTACAAAAGGTGTGTGACAGCACTTTGATTTTGGACAGGTACAACTGCTGAGGCAACTAGACGGCTCAATTCTGTCTAAAACATCGCGTGATCGTTATTGGTCTTCAGCAGGGTCTGAAAACGATGATGTTGAAGGGAACATCATCGGTCCCAATGTGGCAATTAGGCGGAATAGACCGATACACCTCGCAATCACTGCACTCATTCCTCAGGAAGGCAAATCAGACACTTCTCGTCCGTTCTACCCATCTCATCCAAGTTGTGCCCACCATATTATACCCTCAATGAACCCGAAACATGTAGACGCTCCACTTCAAGACATTGGAGACGACAGTTTCTCGCTGCGCTCGCAATGACTCCTACCGGCGTCATACCGGCCACAATATCCCCTAATGGGTTTCCCGCCTCTTTTTTTTACGCTTCCTTTCTATTGTTCACCTTTTTTCCGTACCTTTGAACACAGTTTCCATACTTCTGTTATCCCATGTGTCCCCTATGTTCTCCTATGTGCATTCGGTGTTTTGGTTCCTATACAGCTGTGTGATGAAGAACAAATGTCTTCGAGATCAATTTTCAACATATCAATTATGGTTGAGGTAACAAGGCTTCATAGCTAGCTATAAGAACAAACTGCGTTGAAGCACATTAACGGATGCATGGTATTTGAACAATGAGCCAATTTGAAGATATCTCCTCGATCACTGCGGAAAAACCTTCCCTGTGTGCCGAACTTCAATGTTCAAGTACAGCACAAACGTCTTTGATGTTTCCTTGTAAAAGGCAAGTGTTTAGCAGCCACTCTCTTCACCAGCAATAGTTCCCCGGCTACGAAATTAACTCGTCAAAAAAGGATCTATTGTGAATCCAATAATTAAAGGAATAGAAAAACTCTAACTTTCTATTTACTGCTTATCCTTTTCTATGGCATGTTACGATATGAGATACATACATAAGGACGCAAAGATATGCGCAAAACTTGGGACATCATGTGAGCTTCTAACCTACGATTACCCTTACTGGGAGCTCACGTACTATCCACCACACCAACCAAGACTCTTAGGTTGCTTTCTCTCGGGCACTTTTTTGTTTCTACTTTATAGATACTGTCAGTAATCACTGTCAACTGTAATTATTCGGGGAGCAAAAATCGGTATTAAACTCAGTTACGCCAAAGCTTCGATTTCATTGTTAACCTTTTCTTCCGTCTTCCTCTTCTTCTTCTTCCTTCTTCTACTCATGAAAAAGTGGGAGTAAATAAAAGTTGGAACATTGTGATTTCGAATGCAGCTTCAGCTTAACTGAGTTCATTGCCGATTTGTGCGCCCTAAATCATTACCGTTGAGCAATAGAGGGGAAAACTGGCTGAGAGAAAGACAAAGCAAGGGTCCGGTACGGTGTAGTACATAGCACGTGGGCTCACTGTAAGCTTAATCGCAGGTTCGAAGCTAACATGGTGTTCCAGTTTTGGCACCTATCTCAGGATCATGTGGTTAAGAGGATAGCTTTCCATGAATAATGGCCGCTCAACATTTGCATATGATATGACTGGTTCATTATAAGGAACATAGGAAAAAGCTTCGGTGTATCAAAATAACCAACGGAAAAGGAAATGGCCCCTACACATGTTATGTCGACCGCAATGTCCCATTCCAGATGACACCTATAGAGGTCACGCTGTCGGAAATGTGTTAATACATTAAATATTGAGTCGAGATTTCTAATATGAGGAATTTCTAACATGATTTGTGTTTCCAGTATTACATGGACCAAAAGCAAGCTTTTATGTACAGCAAAAGTCAATAAAAATGACTATCAGCAAAAATATCGACAGCATCCATCAGACGCGATAAGTTGAGATGTCGAAATCTTTAAACAGGGTTCTGAAGAGAAGTTATTTTAGATTATCTATGTAAGCCTTGAATTTTCTCAGCAACGCTCCCATCTCAGCATATTCTGCTATTTTAATCGCTTCATCCAGTTCAGCCCATTTCATATTTTGGTGTTCATGAGAAAGTTTCACATCGTTCGGGTTTCGCAACATCGCTAACCAGTATCTAACAGTCTTCAGTTTACCATTTACCTGAAATCATAGTACAAAGATATCGTTATAGTGATTTAAATTGAATGGTTTCAGATAATTAAAGGTTCATTAGCAAACAGCTGCTGGAAGATCATATTGATTTTAACTTCATCTCAAAGAAGAATCGGGGAAACTCCAGAAGAACTACCAATGGTAATGCCAACTTCCTTTTCTTGAAATCTCGAGATTACCATGTTAGAATTTTCCCAAGCCGTTAACACAATTAGCTCAGGTGGTTCTGGTTAGGACGGATATTTGTCACCTTTCGAGTAGGTTGCTGCCAGGAAGACTGTCATTCCTTCGTTTAACCTTAGCGATTTCCAGATAGAAATCTCGAACTCTTCGGCTGGGGAAACCACAGAGAGGTGATGAGCAGCTTTCCGCTCACTGTAGGTCGACACCTAGGAACTGGCACACATCCAGAATGAGGCGATAAACAATTGCAGGCTACAGCATTTGACTCCGACAACTACGACGATAATCGAACACCTTATAGTGAATCGGAGATTGAAAATAAAGTACTGTGTGGCTACTAAGCGACATACGAGATGCAAAGATACACTAGGAGTGACTTAACAGAAAAAGAAAAATGAATAAAGCGCATCTCACCTCGTACCTTAATGTTTCATGACAATCTTCGTAAATTTTCAACCATTCTTGTGAAATTCCTGCTTCTTCCTTAGTCTCTCGAAGTGCGGCTACCCACTCATCTTCCCCAGGATCGACGTGTCCTTAATTAAAATGTGACACTATTATGAGCGACTAGTCACTAACACTTAGCTTTTGATAGAACGATTAGCTTCCGAAAAGTACTACATGCCACTGACTGCGTCGTTCTCCTCGATGTTTCTGTTTTTCTTAAGCCAAAATCTTACTGGCATTCGTTTCCACAAATAGAATTTGACACAAAAACACCGTTTAGAGCCTCACTTATTCGCAAAAGCAGGACTTGAGGAAAGAACGGAACGAACCGTGTATGACACTTAGTATTAACATTTTTCCACCAATTTAGGGCGTGTGTTGTGTAGTAGTGGGAGGCGCCCTGCCTCACCAAGCCTTCCATCCTTCTGGGGTCCGCAAATTGGTATCAGACTTGTGAAGGAGGATATCAGCACTGGCGCAATACATAGGTAGGCCACTGCGAGTCACTGTAAAGGTCAGATATGCATTCAATCACCTCCAAATGATGCTTAATGAAGTTTAATGCACGGCGTATCCATCATGGATTGATCAAGGCTGAGAGCTCTATTCCTTTTATTACACACAAATTTACATATTAGTTAAAATGAAATAATCTAGACAGAAGAGTTCTCCACACTGGACGCACCTAGTGGGAAATACTTCTGCTTAGCAGTCGCGTAGTATACTTGGAGTCCCAATATTTCTAAACATTGAATGCGTCGTTTTCTTGTCCAACAATCGCAAGATTTTTAAACAGCATACATTTACTTCCATAGAGAAACACAATACAATACAGCACTAGCCGACTTTTGGGCAGTATCGCCTTCTTCAGAGCCTGGAAGGGTATACTGATATACAATCTACTACGCCAAACGCTTCAATGACACAAAAAGACGAAAAACTCTGGTAATTACATGATCAACAACTTCTCAAAAAACCCACCGCTTTTTCGTGACTTCCAATGAGGAAGTTTAGAACAGCTGATTATAGTCGCATATGGTTGACGACTGCACCATCCCACATCAAAAATCGATGCGAACATAGGGGGTCAAGTCGCGTATGACCTCTGGGCATTCATCCCTGCTATTCATTGTAGGCTTTTTGGCATTTATCCAAAAAGCCTCTAGGAGTTTTCGCGCTGGTGTTTTGGACTCCTGTGCAAGGATATTGACTTTTACTTCAAAATCGTCTCCGCTATGCTTTTGTATCCTATGCGTGCCTAGTGGGGTGCTTGGTCTTAGTTTTCGTTTGCCATCTAGGTGTTCTTTTATACGGATACACAAAGGTCTGCCCGTTTCGCCAATCATTCATCTTCGCAANCCTGCTATTCATTGTAGGCTTTTTGGCATTTATCCAAAAAGCCTCTAGGAGTTTTCGCGCTGGTGTTTTGGACTCCTGTGCAAGGATATTGACTTTTACTTCAAAATCGTCTCCGCTATGCTTTTGTATCCTATGCGTGCCTAGTGGGGTGCTTGGTCTTAGTTTTCGTTTGCCATCTAGGTGTTCTTTTATACGGATACACAAAGGTCTGCCCGTTTCGCCAATCATTCATCTTCGCAATTATTACAAGAGATCAGGTATATCGTACCTGAACTCATGCAATCACCGTCCCTGCCGTAAGGGCAAATTACGCACTTTGTTGTTTCACACAGAAGGTCATACAGGCGGTTACGAACTAATTGACAACGTAGAGTAGCCGGTGATAGCATCGTTTTATAGCCACGCTTACTTCATCGCTTATAAAAGGCAACATAAACGGGACCTTCTTTTGGCCAAGTGTTTCGCGTGGGCGCGTCGTTCTCCTTGTAAACTTATCTCGTGGGGTTACTACTTCGTAGCCATTGGAGATGGCTATTTGCCAAGCCAAGTCGCGCGATTCTTCCTTTAGTTCCCTGGTAGCGCACACAGAGGTGGCTGTTCGAAACATGTTTCTTACAATCGCCCTCTTTGTGTGTGAAGGGTGGGAAGAAAGGAAATGGACAAGGATGTTCTTGTTACTTGGCTTTCGATACCACTTTGTCAAGTAACCGCTACTTGATAGGTTTATTTGAACGTCTAAAAACGGAAGCCAGTTTTTTCTTGGTTTCTCCCGAGTGAACTTTATGTACTCAGACTGCTCGTTCAATAATTCAAAGCATTTGTCCATCTCCTCCTGCGTACAGAAGACGACAAAACAATCATCTACATATCTGCAGTAGAGTAGTGGCCGGAGATCGAGAACAGGGGCTTCTATCTTAGACATAAACACAATGGCCACGCTTGGTGTCAATCGCTGTCCCATTACCAACCCCTTATTTGCGCGAAATATTTCCCAGACCATCTGAAAATCGAGCAGTTTAGGCACTCCTTTAAGAGAGCCATTAGCTGTTAGGTGGACAAGCCATGCATATTTATTCTTCCTTTATGTTCAACAAGAAGTTCGAAGATGGCTTGCATTGCGGAGTCATTCCACACGAATGCCCGAAGGTCATACGCGACTTGATCCCCTATGTTCGCATCGATTTTTGATGTGGGATGGTGCAGTCGTCAACCACATGCGACTATAATCAGCTGTTGTAAGCTTCCTCATTGGAAGTCACAAAAAAGCGGTGAGTTTTTAGAGAAGTTCTTGATCATGTAATTACCAAGGAGTTTTTCGTCTTTTTGTAAGTGTTATTGAAGCGTTTGGCCTAGCAGATTGTATATCAGCATACCCTTCCAGGCTCTGAAGAAGGCGATACTGCCGAAAAGTCGGCTAGCGTTGTATTGTATTGTGTTTCTCTATGGAAGTAAATGTATGCTGTCTAAAAACCTCGCGATTACTGGACAAGAAAACGACGTATTCATATTCGAATGCCGAGGTTAATAGAAAGTCGACCCTGGGAACTATTTCTAAAATTGTTTTTAGAAACCAGTGCAACTGTTTTTTCCGTTTCTAGCAACAAATTTGTGAACAGTGTGGAAACACTACCAGATTGAGGACGATTCAAGCACACTTTAATCTTGAACTCATTGATCAAAACAGTCACAGTGCTCATAGTCACAACAAATCCTTAGTGCCTTCAACAAAAACGTTTGAATGGCTAGGTGTACAAAAATCAGCGCGTATTTAAACTATGGGCAAAAGAAACATATAACCAAAAAATTAATGAGCAGAGAATTTCAAAGTCTTCCTGGCGCATGAACAATACCCGGCCGTTTGCGTCTGGCTTCAAAAAGTCTGGCCTGGATGAAGCTCTTAATAACCTGCACATACATTACCTTCGAAAGAGAGATGGCCCAGAAATTTTCAAGTCTGTCTTCCAATACACCTTCAGCGACAATAATCTTCTAATCGTGACAATCTAACAATTCCTATCAAGGAGCACAGATAGATGAATCCTCCCACCCACTCAACATTTGTTGGTTCCCACAACTGGTCCTCTTTTCCGTACCATTTCGTCCCTTGGTCGCTCGATCGTTGCAAAACAATTACACGTTTGACACTCATCACGAACATCAACACCATCACCTTTATTATTATTCTCCGACTCACTCTCTTCAGGCTTCGAATGGTAGCACAAGAAATTCTTTATTGTCTTCAGCATCTTCACTTCACGTTATTCTATAACATTCAGTTCTTTGCCAAAAACCGAATGTTCCTTCGGTTTCAATCATCATGAGGAGTCGTAATTCTATGGAGCGTGCAGATTTTAAAAAAACCTACTGAAATGTACTCAAGAGATATGTCACGAAACTGTGCTGTTCACCAAAAGTCGGTCGATAGCGCCGCGATGGATGGTAGATGAGTTCTTTTTGCCGCACATGAAGCAACAGAAAGAACTATTTCGATAAAAAAGAGGATAAAGGACAAAGCTCTCGGCGTTGAACAATCCCTGAGGGATGCGCCATGCATTCAACTTCATTAAGCATCGTTGGAGGTGATTGAATGTATACCTGGCCCTTACAATGACTCACTGTAGCCTACTGATATATCGAAGCAGTGCTGCTTTCCTCCCAGAGAAATCTGGTACCAGTTTGCTGAGTATCGAGAATGGGCTTGGCGAGCCTAGGGCGCACGGGATCGATCCCATGTGTATTCCAAGGCGCCTTCAACTACTGCGCCACAGGTTCTACGTATGGCGCGTAATGAGAAGTAAAATTAGTTTCCATTCCACACGATCGTTATCGAAGAACAGGCGCAATCGGGAACTTGCTAACCTTGCTCCTTTTTGATTTTCTCACGGGCATAATGGGTAACAATTTCATACGCATTTGCGCTGAACTTACTTTAGTACAAAATTCTAAATGTTGTCAAACTTGTAAAATACCTTTTGGTGGAGTCCAGTGGTGAGGTGGATAACTGGCTTGAAGAAGAAGGAATTCTACGCGGTCCACCACACGTCGGTATACAACCAATCCAGCCGCGCGGACAACGGTTGACATCAGATAAAATGAAAAAAACTGAATGAATCAAAATGACAAAGTTACCCGCAGAAAGCTACAGTACTTCCACGAACAAGACGATAAGGAAAAAATAGAGTTCGTTCTTATCGGTGATAATTCACTAGAACTACTACCAAAACACTACTGAAGTAACATAGTTACTTGGATGTTTGGATGCTCCGTCACCATTGGTTGTGCGAACCCCACCACAACTCAGACTCAGAAAAACTCAGACTCACTCAGAAACACCTCCCAGTCACGATGAGGCAGCAGATTGCTGGTAGGAATGTTAAGCTAGACGGTATAAACTCCATACTGATTCTATCCCTTTGTTGTGAAGCACGAATTTCAAGAAAAAATTTAAGAGACTAGCTTGATACTGAGCTAGAATCATTTCCGTTAATGTATAAAGTGTTAATGTCCAGACGCAAAACAATGTTTAGTCAAGATACGGGATGGTATACGTGCTCCACACAACGCAGAATCACTACGTTCACCTTTGTACCTTTATATCGTGCCAAAATAAGGCTTAATAACACGAAAACATATATAAAATCATGAAATCAATAAACAAAATCTTGGATAACTTGAAAATATACAACAAATTTTGCACAGAAATGGAAGGAAAACATGAAATCGTGGAGATCGTGCTTCTAAACCACTTCGAAGGCAAACTGCAAGAGTACCACTTTGCACTTACCAACAAAAACCACAAATTGTACATAAATAAATATGCAATTACTGAAGATAGAACTGCACAATATATTGTGAGGACTCCAGCTACTTCATTAAAAATAGCGAGTGATCAGGACCAAGAGAAGCGTGTTTCACATCATTCGGAAAGAAGATCTCGAACGGAAAGTATTGATCCTTCCCATGCTCCAATCCAAGCAACCCGTACCTATAGTTCGGTGCTGTGGAAAAGGCTCCAATATAAATGACTAGAAAGCTTGCTAACAAAAAAAACAAGTTTATTACCTATTTTGCCCCCAAATGAACAACCGTCCCCTCGAATTGAGAGCAGCGAAAGACGTATTACCAGCATAAACCTTCATTACCTGGAAACTTAGAACAACTAAACAGCATATGGAACCAACTAAAGAGTATATGGAATGGTCATTTCTTAATCATAACCTTCTCATTCCCGAAAAGTGGAGGATCCATCAGCACCGGTCGATCAAGTTTTTGCATAGTTGGGCCAAGGCCAAGTAAACCAACTCCCCACACATAGGCCTAAACTTTCAAAGCTGGAAACCAAACATAAATGAAATCCTATCACACAGACCTAACAAAGCAAGATTACTAACTTCTCCGCATTCCGTGCTAACCAAGCACGAAGTGTCTGTTGATGCAGCGGATAAAATTTTTCCAGCAGGAAATGGAATGTGTCGAGAACAATTCAGCTAAAACAAGAAAACAAATGGAACAAATAGATGAACAAACCACCATAGAACGATGAAATCTAACCTGAACATCGTGAATACCTAACCCGGCCTGCCCATATTCACACTGCCCCCAGATGAAGATCTCGCCTTTTTCTGAGCGAGCCAATATGGTATCTGAACTTCCTGAGATGGAAACAACTTTCTCATTCGCAACGTCTCCTAAACCTCGTAGCATCATTATTATTTGGTAGCATTCATATTTCAGTAGAGTTAAAATTAACACACCTGTAACCGCGGTGGTTAACCTACAATTACAAATAATTCTTTAGTAACTAGAACACTTAAGGAATACAGAGACTTATATAAAAGGCTTTACTCTTACGTTGTAAGGGAGCGCATCATCTACAGCATAAATGTTCTACTTAATATAATGACAAGGAGATGATTCACGTATGATTTGCTGATTCATCGCCGTACAAACTGGCCTAGTTGAGTCATATATGAACCATTTCGTTCTCTGACGTCAATTTTGCCACATACAATAGGTGACCTCTCTTATGGACGTGGACCAGGAAGAGCTCTTTTCCGTTGTCCGAAATTCATATAGAAATCCTTCTCCAAACGACTTCGCTAACAGGGGACTTGGCAGATAATTGACTATTATTTCTATTCCAAACGTCATCGAGCTACAAGATACTTCCAAATACTGACAACATTGTGATTGCACTGGGAATCACAGTGACATGAAATAAATAGTAACACACATCCAATGCAACGTCAAAAGTTCTACAGGAGGATCTCTTCCATTACGCTGTCATGTTCTTAACCCTTGCAGTCCTCTAGTTGTCGAAAAGTCATCGTCTGATGAACAGATGCGACAACCATTACAATCTGGTTTAACATTTTTTTTCACTGTTCTCGGCAAGAATCGAGCGAAATGCAGCTGCCTTGGCATAGGTTTCATCTTAGGTGAGATAAAGGGTCGAAGCATCAATCTCCTAAGGTTGGGAGACTCTGTGGGGTGAAGAAAATTCCGATGTATATAGCAATTTGACACACTAGGACCCCCTGCAAAGAACAAAAAAAATTGAAGCTGATCGAAGGCTCTCGGAGATCAGAATTTCATCTCCGTAGTTGAAAGGGCAACTATCTTCGTGCATTTACGCATTCAAATTCATGTATATGCTGTGCACTTTTTCCACAGCCTGTTTACAGCACTGGCTATCAAATAGCGTTTTAAAACAGTGAAGTAAACAAACCCAAATCTCCGTTAGGAAAAAGTGTAAACGCTGGTAGTTTTTAATTCTAAGAACTAGGTTTGCTGAACCCCGAGGAAGATTTTGACCTGGCTCACCTCGAGCTCCGGGGAACCGTAATAGCTAAACAAGCAAAACTCCAAAAAATAGAAATTATGCTGGGGCTCGCACAATCAGTGAAGACCAACCATCCAAGTATCCAAGTAAGTTTGTTGGACTAATACATGTGCGTTATCTGCACAGTGTACTTGCAACTGGAGGTCAAAAGCGAAAACTGCTCTTAGGAATACCATAAGTACTAACCCGTAATTTTAGTCGGCTTCCACTGAAAGTCGTATGAACCATTTGCACATTGCCCATCCTCATTTAAACCGAAGGAGAACACTTCGCCTTGCTGCGTAAGGACAAAAGAAGAGTCCAGAGAACAATGGACGGCCACTGCGGGAGAATCGCTCGTAATTTCAACCAAAGGCAGCTTCAGGTCTCCAAGCTAAAAGCTGGGTTAAAAACTATTTTAAAAAAGATAAAATCCAATAACTGAGCGATGGAAATAAAAGCACTACAAGAATCCTTACCCCATGAACTTCTCGATACTTTTCTGGATTTTGCCCGCATTGCCCGTATATGTTATCGCCGAACGCAAAAACACCGGAAGTAGTGGCAACTAAAGAATGCGCCCGACCAGAAGATACCGACAAAATAGTGGCCTCTAAACGCGTAACACATAAATTGAGATGCTAAAACTGTGGTCGAAAAAAAGCATTCATATCTAAACAGAACTTACGAGTGGGAAGCTGTATACGTTTCGCACTAATATAGTAATCCTGGAGCTTACTTGCACTTTCTTGAACGTGACTTGTAATCTGAAACCTAAAGACAAAGACTGCATCCCACTGCAAACAACGCGTAACAGGGAACTATGTTGCTTACCTTGGCTTGGATGACCCGTTTTCACTGGTTGCGCGGGCCCTATCATAATTCCCAGTTTTTTCAAGTTTTAGTGGTTTAACCATTGTGGTTCCTTCGAATCCCTAGGTCAGCTAGGCCAAAGTCCGCCCTGAGTCGCCACCAACACAGACGTTCGCCGCCCTTGTGGATCAGAGGGAGATTTGGAACCACGAGACTAGTCTGACACCAGAATGGTGGTGGATCCTGGTATTGATTTACTCTTTGTTGGGTTTCCTGATGGAAACGCCGAACTCCTTCTCAGCTTAGGAGACCTTGATAGGGGATGAAACCCAAGCTGTACAACGCAGGCCGACACCCAGGAACAGCTCCCAGCCAGGACGAGACGTTAAACCGTTGGGACGCCATAAAAGCCATACGATAATAATCCAGAAGGGTCTCCAAGAACTACGATTTTCATACAAGGTCAGTGTTTACAACAGATATGCCATACCTGTTATTAAGTCCAGAACCAAACAACTTGTCTTTGGAGGCAAACAGTGAAAATCCAAATCCTGCCGCTATGTGTTTGATTCCACGGGCGTTCAGATGGCTTATCCGCCGTGGTTTATAGGCTTCCCTTGCAGTGACGACTTTATCATTCACCACCAACTGTGGGATAGCCAACGCTCCAGAGGCAGACAGTCCACAACCGTACACCGCACTAAGAGCCTCAAAACGAATGTATGGTTAAAGACATTAGAAATATTAAACAAACATAGCTGTCATCGCATGGGTCTATTAGGGAAACAATTAGCTGATGGCTTATGAACGTCTCGTTTCGAAGTGCTACTTCCACATCATGGTAAACTATTCAAAATACATCAAGCAGGAAACACGTCAAACGTACCTTTTTCTTCAAAACATCATCTGATTTGGCCACTTTTGCACTGTACATGAAACTTCTTGACGTTCCCAGCAACATAAAATCCCTAAAAGCCCTCGTGAATGACTCTGTCTTATTCGCCAAGTGAAAAGTACTCATACAAAGCGCTGCCCAGATACAGTTCTGAGTATCGGCGATTTGTAGCACTTGAATAACGCCTAATTCCAGTTAAACTCATGAGCATGGAATCCTAATAAGTTACTGTTTAAAAAATCAAGACATCAACCTAGAATGAAATGATGTAGCATCAACCGGAAACTTTGATCTATCACATCTGGAGAGAGCACAAACACTGTGCTAACCAGACCCTGGAATCTTTTTATACAAACCCTCACATGCACCCTGCATACCTGGATAGCCCGTCTTCACTGGTTGCCCGAGCCCCAAGATAATTTAGATTTTGCCTGAATTTTCCTGACGTAGCCACTGCGGTTCCCTGCAGTCTCGTGGTTAGCCTGGGTAAAGTCCGCCCCAGGTAGTCACCACCACAGGCAGTCGCCTTGTGGATCAGAGGGAGATTCGTCATCATGCGACTAGTCCGATACCAGGACGGTGGTGGATCCCAGTATTGCTTCACTCTTAGGTGGGTTTCATGATGGAAACGCCGGACTCCTCAGTCTGGGGAGGCCATGCCGGGGGTGAATCAAGCTGCAAATCGCACCCTGACACCCAGGAACACGTCCCACCCACGATGAGACGATAAACCATTAGGAGATATGCACCCTAGCTCCGTCATTCTAAGTGTGGTCATTTTTGAATAGTTCTACAGAGAATTAGAAGACCATTACTTTGTAAGACATAGTACGAGAATACAACGAGCTTTTCACAGCATGTATGGCAAAAATACAAAAATATTTATAATTACAACAAAAAATTTCCCTTTCATAAAAAAGAGAACAAAAAAAATACAACTATCTATACGTATCTACGAGATAATAAAAGTATCAAGTCAGTCTCGAGTAACAAAGGAAACTATCACATACAAGCACAAGCATGGAATGGTCAGCGTAGACGACGGGGTTCAAGCGGGGAGACCCACGATTTCAAGACATAACAACACATTTTATACTAGAGGAACAGCCTCTTCATCAATCGAAAAACTTCCTATTCTGGTTCGGACCAAACAAGGCAGTGCGAATCTGTGGTATGATCTGAAAAAAATGTTAATAGCCATCGTAACACGAAGAAAAACTAAGGATTATAGCATATCCAGAATGGCTTGAGTCACCTCTGAGATATAAAAAATTACTCAAGAAATGCACAGAGATTTTGCCATCCAATCAATCCACCCACTTGACTAGCGATAAGATCCAATCGGCTTTCCAGTGTCGATAAAACTTTGATCTTCCCCCCTTTTGATGAAAGCACAACACCACCAGCAGACTCTATCGGAAGGTAATGTTGCTTATCGATCGTCACCTGCAAACCTTCACATTTTCTCTTTTCAAACCTTTCTGACTCACAAAAAAACATTAAAAAAACTCGAGCCGTGCATCAGAGTATTTCACGTATGTGTACACTCAAAGAAATTACCAAAAACTCTTGACTTCAAATGACTTGACCAATCTAAACTCTTGACTTCGAACCGAATGCAAGAAGTGCTGGGATCCGCACAGCAGACGTTATTACGGCTCACGTAAAAATAAAAACGATGATTAACAGGACGTCGGCCCTGGGAAACGCGGTGTTCGAAGTGCCATAGATTGGTCACACAAAACAACAAAAAAGGATCCTTCTTACTGAAACTGGAATACGAATAAACATACGCTAGTCTTCTCTCCCCATTCCTTTTCAAGAGAATCAAGGCATTCCGGAAGAAGTCTTTCCACAAGATGAAGGTCTTTCTCACGACACTGGAGTAACACATCCTTTTCTAGCAACTGAAGTAATGCCTAAAAGGAGATTGTCTGAGCACTAAAAAATGTTATATGAAAGGAAAAATGATCCCGCTAAAATTGCAGCTTTACTAAGCGTCTTCGAATAAACGTGCCTGCATGATAAGACCCTTAAGGATGGCGGGATATCGTGCTTGGTCAGCTGAGATCTTTGACAAATTCATCCTCGCCTCCTCAAGAACGTTACGAATGTGATCTTCACGTGCCTGCAATCACAATCTTAGGAACCGTCACCAGTGAACAATGTGATATAAGAGCATAATACGTCCCATTGGAAAAGAACCTATGTTATACGGTCTATTCGACTGCTATGCAAAGAAATGTTATATTTTAATACAACAAAATCATAGGAAGGATTAAAATAACAACGGAATCGAAGCTGTGAATTTTAGATAAAGAAAAACTCCTCAAAAAGTTATAACCAAAGATAAAAAGAAATGATATGAACAAGTTTAGAAATTCCTCTCGCTACCATAGAAATTCTATGGACGAAAAATGTCCTCTCGGACGAACTACAGTTTCATCCATTCAGAACTATTTACGGAATTTTACCGCTTCATATAGATCCATGACATAAAACACACTAATTCCTCAAGAAACGTAGTTAGTACTGCAAATGTGAATGAGATTCACCGGAAATAAGAGCCTAAGTCACCGCCAAAGAATTATTATTAAGACTTTACAACACACTGAAGTATCAAAAGTAGTACACTGTCGGCCACACCTAGTTAAAAGTAAACCTAAACATCATATTGAAGTACATTACCAATTCGGATGACTAAACAAATGTATTTAATACGTTTAAGGGAAGATAGCAACGGTAGTAATACCTTTCAGTTGAAGAAAGCCCGTGGTTTGACTCCACCCAGAACGAACCGATTCCTTCACCCTTTCGAGGTCGGAAAATTGGTACCAGCCTTGTTTCAGGTCATAAAGCTCCCTCTAATTCACAAAATGTACTCGACCAGCATACAACGACATTCATGAAGAACAGCGAACAAACATGCAACTTGCGAAGACCTTCCTGGAAGATGGATGCCAGGTAACCAATCGAATGCAAATAACTTCCTATGTAGAGACAGCATAGTGTTGCGCTTGTTAAGTCGCTCCGTTGATCGGGCTATGAATTTCGACAACAATACGCCAATAAAAAAAATAGTCGGTTCCAAAAGCCTAACAAAAGTGCCATACTGATGTAGTAGTTACTCTATTATCATTGCCAGACGTGTAGATATTGGTCTTTATCTCCATGTTGTTTACCACAGTTCTGCTGTGTTTAATGCTTAAAAATTAAGTTGATTACGACCAAGAATACACCACCCACGATCCGTGTTCTCGTGAATGTTAATAAAAAGGGTAAGAACAAAGCTCTTGGCGTTGATCAATCTCTGCGAGATGTGCCATGCATTCGACTTCACTAAGCATCGTAGGAGGTGCTTGAATGTATATCTGGCCTTTATAATGACTTGCGGTGGCCTATCAATCTATTAAGCCAGTGCTGCTATCCTCCCAGACAAATCCAGTACCAATGTGCCGACCCGGAAGGACGTATGGCCTGGTGAGCTTGGGAGACAGAGCGATCGATCCCATGTGTGTATTGCAGGACGGTTCCGAACACTGCGCTACACACTCCCTTTCCTCGTGAATGTTATAAATGAAAACTATCGAGAGGATTTACCTTCAAGCACATAAGTCGGCCTTCATTGAGAGAATTAGACGACTGGATCTTCCTTTGTAATTCCACTTGCTTTTCCTTCTTCTCATAAAACTCCATAATCTTCTGACGTTGTTGTTGCACCAAACGCCCCTAAACTGCACACATTAGCTACTACATACACAACGAATGCATATTCTCGGGGAAAACATCAAAGAATAGACAGGAAATGTCACACGTTCAAAGGGTTAGAAAACGAAGCAAAGGATGCAACTCGGAGGACTACGGCTAGAACAACGTGAAGGAACAAACAGGACAGTAGTAGTACTGAGATAGTAGCAGTAGATTGCACCGAGTAGGAAAGAACAAAACGGACACAAGCAAAGAACCCAAACAAATGCGGACCTTCTCAATATTGAACTCCTCCTCAGCTTTAGCGTCAATCTCCTCAGCTTTCTCATTCGCCTCCTGCTCTATGAAAGCCATCATATGGCGAAGTTGTTTCTGCACATCGTTGTCGGAGATCCCCATTCTGGATTCTGGAAAAAAAGCCGGTCAGCAACAAGAACTGAGATATTCACGGCTAAACACAACGCTGAAATTTAGGGCTAAAGAATTTGCGTATAATTTAACATCTACTTTGCTATACAAGTCGCCAAGACAGCGAAATTCCACGGAGGAAAGCAAGACGGGAAGGTACGTATGAGGAAGCAGGACGACATTTCAGCGCTAGCTCACAAGAAACTACAGCTAAATAGAGGAATTTGAGCATAAAACAATGTGAACTGAGGTATGAATGAAAAGTGAAACTGAAAGACCAAAACTTGAGAAGAAATATCTGAGTGGATAGCCTGAAAGATCTCGACAAACAAAGACCAATAATCAAACGGCGACCTCGCCCAGAGGCACGGCAATCGTTTCAGGACCATCGCTGACGAGCCGGTTCTCCTCGGCTATCTTCCAGCATTGGTTTTGATTTCCAGTGGTGGTTATCTTGATTCTTAGTACTGGTAGTTTTGGTTCCCAGCACTAGTCGTTTCGATCCTCTGTACTGGTTTTGACTCCCAGTACTGGTTGTTTTGGTTCCCAGTAATGGTTATTCCGATTCCCACTAGTGGTTGTTCAGATTCTACAGGATTGGCTAGTCGTGGTTTAGAACACTGTTCCGGTTAGAGATTGCAGAACATAGGCCAGCATAATCACTCAGTACTACGGAACTGCGAAACATCTATACAAATAATGTTAATTTTTTATCATTTTCATTTTCATTTTCGTTTTTATCAAAAAATATCATTAACTGTCAGTTATCATTTTTCACCGCATGGTGTTCTGTGAAATACAACCGCGGTGGTGCTGCGATATTTGCAAAACCTGGGCCCAAGGCCAGGTCGAACCCGCTGTTACCCTTTCCGAGATGCCACGCTTTAGCCACTACACCACTGAGGCCCTTGCTTTGCCTGTTTGTCAGTCAGTCCTTTAACTAGTGCCGCCATCAGCACTCACCCATCAACAGGGAAGATCTGGAGAGCAAAAATCGATAGGAAATAGATATTTCGCACTTCTATAGTATCTATACAAATAGGTGGCCAATCTTTAGGTTAAGAATCGACGGTTATTTATTGGAATCTGGTGAGGACACCAAGTCGTCTGTGTTATACAAGTAATTAGAATCAGGGCCAGTTGTTTCAGCGTAATTGGGTACTGTCTGGTTAGTGAGTAAAGGCTTTCATGCCAGCATAAACTAGTTCTTCTCATGCACAAAACTAGGTAGTGTTGTACCAGCCTAACTTCCTGCTAGTCGTTTTTCCCTCTTAAAATATCCAGCAGAGAACAAACTATCGTGACGAGCCCAACTGTGTTCGTCCTTGTCGACTGCCGTCATGTCCAATTAGGTGCACATCGTTCTTCATGGAAATACCACACCTCATTGATGTCTTACCTGTACGACTTTAGAAGTAGGTGTGACTTAGACAACCATCCAGGCTTGAGCAATGTTCAAAGAATTCTCGCTATTCTCGTTGAGCAAACACGAGGTGCTACCTTATTATTCCTTATTTCGTTAAAGCTAAAGCTGACGTTTCGGCAGTATCGCCTTCCTCAGAGCCTGAAAGGCTAATGAATGGAGCAAAGGGGTGAAAAAGGCGATACTGCCGAAACGTCAGCTTTAGCGAAATAAGGAACAAAGTAACAGCTCGTATTTGCTCAACAAAAATATCGAGAATTATTTGATCAATGCCGATGTTAAAAGAAAGTCGGTAGTGGAAATGTTCAGAGAGTTGCAAACATGCCTTCACTTCCTTTAAGCTCACGTAAGAAGTACGTCTACTCAACAAGATTCCACAAAACCGCGAACTGATTAGCACTTTTACTTCCGTGACACTCTACAAAACAGTATAATGCCATCATAGGATAGAATCTTTGGCAATGTACCAAGTCTTGTTCACCTAGCAAGCAAGTGATTATCACTTGAACTGACCTATTCGAATCATCCATACGATCAATCTCAACAAGCAATATACACATATACCCATCTCATGAAGTAATCAGAAGAAATGAACAATTGTCTCACGTCGTCATATTCTAGGAATCTGAGTCCGTATTCTAATAAAGCAGGTATCAGGCTGAAAACAGACAATTGGGATGACGAGATTATCAAACAATATATACATCATCTCGAAGCAAAACAAAGCGAGTTCTGCATATCCACTGAAACTCGAAACAACAAGGATCATCACAAGCCTAAGCCGAATAAGTTAAGGGAGCCATGAATGAAAACAGAAATAAGGCTCATGATTTGACTTTTTTCACCAGGATGTACGCATCTTTCGGTTCCACATGCTTGTAGTAGTTCTCCGCAACTCCGACCTAAACGGGATCCTAGACCATTATGTAGCAAATAAGCACAAATTCTTAATACGTTCTTATGAACTGATCTCCTCCCAACGGTTTACCGCCTCATGGTGGCTGGGAGGTGTTCCTGGGTGTCGGACTGCGATGTACAGCAAGGGATTCTGGTAGGGTCTTCCAAACTGACAAGGAGTCCAGCGTTTCCATCAGGAAGCCTAGCTAAGAATAAACCAATACCAGGATCCACCACCATCTTGGTATCAAACTAGTCGCACGATGGCAAACCTCCTGATCCACATGGGTGGCGACTGCCTGTGGTGGTGACAACCTGAGGCAGACTTTGGCCTGGCTTACCTCGGGGCTCTGGGAAACCACAATGGCTAAACAAGCAAATCTCCAAAAAAGGAAATTATGCTGGTGCACGCACAACCAGTGAGGACGGGCCATTCAAGTATCAAGTATGAACTGATCTTGATGAGCTGGTACGAAGTTGGTATAAAATGTCGTTGTCGTTGTTATTGATGTTGTTGCTATTGTCGTTGTTGTTGTTGCTGTTGGTCAATGGCTGATGTTTCGGCGACTTCTCCATCCTCAGAGCCATGCTCTTGCAAGTGGGTCCCATGTGTCATCCATCGACCAACAACGACAACTACAGCTCACAGCAACCTCGCATCAGCTCAACAAGACCAGTTTATAGGAACATATAAATAAATATATCGATTATTTATGCCGAGGTTTACAGAAAGTCGGACTTTTGAGTTATTAAGCACAAATTGTTCTCGAGTAAAATGCATTGTCAGTGACAAACCCAGGGAACTCAACAAAAGATGGAGTAAGAACTAGGTTGTGCAGGTATAAAAATAGGGGCCAGTAATACTACCAGGGCTCTGTTGCACTTAAACAAAATTACTATTACAGACATATATTTGCCTCATATACGCATCTGTTTTAGTTGTAATATGAACATATGAAGTGTCAAGACTGTGAAGAGGGTGTCGATGTGAATGCTTTGTGAAAACCCAAGTAACAGTAACGGGTTAGGAGTTATATTTTCCTAAAAAAGCACAGCAACACCACTATCGATGGACCAATAAGCAAAACGTTCTAATCCCGATGTTCTCACTGTTGGTGTATCTGCATCTAATAGTAATCCGGGTAAATTTCTTTGTAAACGAGAGCCAAAGTAATATAATATTGTGTAGTAATAGTAATATAATGGCATGGGGAGATATAAACCTGTTCGTATTTTACTTAAAACTAAGGTAAACAAAAAGTAGAGTGTAGATGAACTCCTACCTGTTCGAAACCTCGATTCTTATAGAAGTTGAGAGCATTCTCGTTGCTGGTTTGTACATGAAGGAAGATGTTCTCCAACGCTGAATCCTTAGTAGTTAATGAGAAAACATAGTTGAGCAACATGTTGCCGACGCCTAGTTGTCGATACGGAGCCAAGGTGCCGAGGGTCATGATGTAGAGCGATCGTTTCCTCTCGTACTCGTCTATGCGACAGCAGACGGCGCCGACGACGATGTCGTTCACGTAGGCGAGTTTCGACATCTCCCCGTCGGCGACCACGTTCGCATAGAACTTGGCATTATAGGGGACTGGGAGGATGCATGAATTCAGGGCACGTAGCTGCTTGATGTTGTGCGCCGTGACGTCGCCCAGCTCTATGTCGCAGCGCCCGGCGATGCGCTTCTTCTTTTTACCGCCGATCGTCAACGCACTCATCTCTGCCACTGGCTCCACGGCTGGCCCCATCTTCTGAAGCAGAAGGTTTTACGAGGGTCGAGGAAACGAAGGCACGTGCACATCATCGTTCAGAGGCAAAACTCTCATTCACATACAAAGAACATGGAACCAGCAGAGTTCCAATCTACTAACAACTCAAAGCGGGAGCAGGATAAAAACAGAAAACATCTAAATTCAAGTGGCAGGTGGAACTAACTGAGACCTAAAGAATGAGTAAAACATGTTAACTGACCTTAGCTACTTGACTGGTTACTACGTCACTTTGACAACAAACGTCACAGTGAACATGAGAACAGTAGATTTGATAAGGAACAGGTACCATGGTAAAGTTGTAGAGGAAAAATATAGAAATAAGGTATTCCAAGAAGCCTCATCACCTATGCCTCCTCAGCGACTGAAGGTGGGTGTACTTATGCGAAAAGAACCATCGGCTAAGACACAAGAACAGTGGTAATACAAGGTTAAGTTGGATTAATAAAGGACAAAAAAGTAATCTAGGGGATAAAGGGCACATGTCATACCTCGTATTCTTAGACATACGGAATATCTGAAACTGGTATGGGCCGTGGTGAAAATTCCTCGCTAGTCCTTAATACCCTTAATATTCTAAATAGAATATCGAATTGGTCTTCAATGGGACATATTCTGACTTTAATGCAAAATCGGACATCGACAGCGTAGTAACCACCTACGATCATAATGTCTCTTGAAGAACGTGGGCTGTAGCCTCTTATACAGCGTGGAAGCTCTCACAACCGACTCAATAAGCACGTAGCAAGCGATCCATACTGATTCTGGATAGTCCGTAGATATTGGGACGATCCATGACGACCGAAGTCCTTAAAATCTTACGAAATTTCCACCAATTACATGAAGATATTGATCGCGGCATGCTCTACAACCACACACTTCATGGATTATATTGTTACTGGCTCTTGTCACCAACAAAATATCATTACACTAGACCATAGTCTGCCCTGATAAATAAGGGTTATCTCCACTTCAAAGGAGATGATCCTGTTATCATTGCTCAACTGCAATATTATATCCTCAATGTAAACCTCTCCTTAAAACTGTAACATATGCTGGAAAGGATGATGCAATCTTCGAGGAAGATCAAGGACAAACCGTGGGACAAATAGTTTCAAGGCAGAAGTCCTGAATAAGACGGATTCCGAATAGGTTGGAGAGAAGCGACGTGCTGAATGAGAGGGAGTGCTGTTGTTTCACCTATGGACCAGTGCTGAAGTGAAGTCTGCTAGCACCGATCCAACCACCACGTAACCGATGAATGATGAATGAGTGGTAAGGTCTGTTCGTCGGCTGGGCAATGCTTCCACCTCAAGAGTTGTCGTTCTAGAAGCAGCGCTCATTGTCAGCCCACGAAGAGACACCACCGTCCCACACGTCGTCAACCACGCTCCAATTGGCTAGCTGTTTGAATGGAGCACACTAGTTGAATCCATGAAGTGAGTGCCGGTGGTTGAGGTGAGTGCTGCGTGGTTTCCGGGTTAGCGCCAGTTGAAATCTCCTTAGATTTCGCAGTGCCAATGCTGACCACGCGAAAATATGGGTCCTGAATTTTCTGCAATGTTAAATTCGTTGTTGTAGGTTCTAGTGATGGCCAAATCGTCAGTGCGATTGAACTCAAAATATTTCCCTCTACAGGGAGAGGATTTGTACAAATTTATTCCCTACACCCGAACGAACACTAATCAAGAGAAGAAAAAGGCAAGTCCAACTCTTTTCTTTTCTTTTTCTGGTTTTTATGCCTGTAACCCACTATAGAGTGATTTTCATCGGTTTCCATCCTTTAGAAGTGAGGTTTCTTCTTTAGTTATACATTTAGATTTGTATACATGCTGATTCGTTTTATTTATGAGCGATATGTGAATTGGTGAGCATTCAGAGAGTTTGGAAGGCGGCCAAAGCGGAGCCAAATCTAGACATTCTCTTCATTCTGCTAATTGCTTGCCTAGTTCTTAGCGTACAATCCATACTGGCAGTCGGTGGCTATTCAGGTTAGGCTGTCTCAATATGAATCCTGAGCTGGATCGTTTTTCTGATGCGTTATTCTTTTCGTTCCAAGCATATCTTTGACTAAGTGCACTGCTCAACAGGAGAGGGCAAACCACCTATGTTCGGAGATTTCGAAGCTCAACGACACTGGATGGAAATCACCTATAATCTTCCACCACGAGAATGGTTCGTTATATGCAGAACTTTTGAGACATTTCATTTAACATGGATTTTCTGTAGCTTCCGCAAGATTGTCTCCTATAAAGTATCCTTCCAACGGTTTACCGCCTCCTCCTGGGTGGGTGATGTTCCTGGGTGTAGGGTTGCGATGTACAACGAGGAGATTCATACGGTCTCCAAAGCTGAGAGCGAGTCCGGCGTTTCCATCATGAAGCCCAGCTAGGACTTAACCAAAACTAGTACCAGGATCTACCACCGTCCTGGTATCAAACTAGTCGCATGGCGGCGTGTCTCCGCCTGATCCACAAAGCCTGCGACTGCCTGTGGTGGTGACGACCTGAGAACAGTCTTTGGCCTGACTTACCTCGGGGCTCCAAGGAACCACAATGGCTAGACCACCAAAACTCCGAAAAAATGAAAATATGCTAGGGCCCGCACAACCAGTGAAGATGGACCGCCCATGTTTTTTCAAAGTAGGATAACGATGATACTTTTATTTTAGGTATGTTAACAGTATAAATAACGACTTATCATATTGGGGACTGGATTATCCACCCTTAACTGCCTATCACAGTTACCTGATGGGTCTTGTGTGAGTACTTTACAATTGTTCATGTATGCCTATTCACATTTTGCTCTTAGGTGACATCAGCAACTTACAGTGCCACCTTTAAATAGAGTGTTTGGTCCTGTTGTGTTAATCATATTTTATAGGGCAAACCATATAAACTCCTCGTGGGTATCTCTGAGATCATCAAGAGGCTTGGAAACCGTGCGCCATAAGTTGTTTATGCGACTAACAGCGGTAGTTCCATTCTACATTGTCTATGCTCCAGCTATAATCTACTTCGTTTTCTGTCAAACGAAAGTGAAGGATTTATCGTCGGTCAGTGGTTATCGTTGAATCATTGCTAGACTTCGAAATTTGCGACATTTTACAGAATTCGATGTTCGCACTGATTTTGACATATCCTGGTTTGCTGGCCATAGATAACGCACACTTCCAGTATGTTTTCCATCGTTTTATAGCAAAACTTAGGTTCTTTTACACTGCCGATGCCGATCAATCCATTTCGTCGATTAGAAGAGGCATAAAAAGGGGCCAAATACGCAGGCTGTTAAGGTGTCTTGGGTTACTCCTTCAATGAATAATGATTTCACGGTGCTTCCCCGTTTGTATTAGACAGACTGAGATTTCTTAACTCTTTTCTGGCGTAGCCTGAAATTTTAGCTATTTTATCCAAGTGATGGAGATTAGGAGTGTCATGAATTGAAAGTTCACTTGAATTCTTGGAATTGCTGGTTACTTTTCACTTTTGAGGTGTTTTACCACTTTCTATTTAAAGGTACAACAGCATTTCATTGGGATTGTTCGTATTTTCGTTGCTGTTTCTTGAGAATCAACGGTTTTTACTCGGCTCGATTTTCTTCGTAATGGCCTTGAACTATAAGCAGATGGAGCTGTACCATGCACTGCCAGTGTTTGTATTTATATTTGCAAGATCTCTCAAAAGGCCATTGGGACGGAACATCGTTGGGAGGTCCAGCACCTTAATTGTTTTGCTTGTTTTCTTCTTATTATTCATACATTTCAAGCTTCTATATCTTCATGGTCTGATTTCGAAATATTCTAGCATGGTGGCGTTATTGAAGGTGTCACTCGTTGTTTCTCTTGCCTTCGTCCTACTGTGGTTACCTTTCGTTGTAAATGGCCCGCAGGCTGTTTTGGCTGTTCTTGGACGGCTTTTTCCTTTCTACCGAGGACTGTATGAGGTATTTTTCAATACTAGATCCTTCGTTTACCCCATCCAATGTTATGAAAAGGGCGCGTGTAGCGCACTGGTCGGAAGCACCCTGCAATAAGTGTGGGGCCGATCCCTACGCCGCAAGCTCGCCAACCCCTCCATCCTTCGTTGGTCGGGAAATTGCTAGCAGACTTGTCTGGGAGGATAGCAGCGCTGGCTCGATACATCGGTAGGCCACCGTGAGTTATTGTAAAGGCCAGATATCCATTTAGTCACGTCCAACGGGGCTTAATGAAGTCGAATTCATTGCGCATCTCTCAGGGATTGATCCGCCCTGAGAGCTTTATCCTTTCAATGTAATGTTATTAAATATGGATGGGCAACAATTCAGAAGAATCCTGTCTCAGCATATAGTCTGCCCTAGTGATCAAAATTTTCTTCAAATTCAATTTTCGTTTCGTTGCAATTTTTCTTCATTGGCTGCTTTATTATTTGATTACCATTTTAGGACAAAGTGGCTAGCATTTGGTGTGCATTCTCTTTCGTTTTCCGAATGAACAATCTTTTCTCACTGGACACACAAATCAGAATAAGGTAAATTTCTGTGGCTTTTCAATTTCATGAAAATTCTGTTATCGTTGCTAATTTTCCCTTGAAAGATGAAGGCTCAACGCTCTTCAGTTGCATTAGGTATATCATTCTACCATCGAACATAGCCTCCTTTGTGTTATTGGAAAGAAGGGTCGATAGTATAAACATATTTGAGTTCAATGCCGATTTGTGCAACCCCAGAACAATCCCGTTGAGCAGTGATTCCTGATGGCACTGGTAGATGGAAAATTAGCTGAGAGGCGAGTGAAACGAAGGATCCGCATGGTGTGATGGTGACCGCGTCAGTCCCGGCAAGGGTAATAGCGCGTTCGTTCCCCATCGTAGACACCTGCGGGCGGAAGTTTTACAAATATTTCAGCATCATTACGGCTGTATTTCGTAAAATGAGTTTTGTTTGATTTAGCTTTGGAAGAGTAGGATTCACAAAATTGCAGTGCTCTTTGCGTTGTTCTTGTCACTACGCCTTCGCTATTTCTACTATTCCTGAGACCTACCATGAAGAACTTCAAGTTGAGCCTCATGATATCATCACTTGCATTTTTCTTATTTTCTTTCCAAGTGCACGAAAAATCAATCCTTCTGGCAGCAGTGTACGTTTTTCAACTTATCATACAACCTAAGCTATGCAGTTAGGAACTTTTCATTCCCTCTTTGCCTACAAATCATTGCTTCCAGCCCGGCTTTGTTATTGCTACCAAATCATTATCATGCAGCTGTCTGGTTTCTCCATATTTCGAACACAAGGTTAAGATTTTGAAGCTCAATAGTATAGAAAAATTGTTTAGAAATCAGTATAGGACATGTTTGGTAACAGTAAGGCAGAATTACTTCTGTCTTTTTCTTTATGAATTTTCTTGTTTCCTCCGCTGTACCTAGTTTTCTTTAGCCTAACATACTTAATATTAATTTGATGGCATAGTCATAACTTCCTTTTTTTTTAGTATGTTTCCACTCTGTCTGAAAGACGGTACTGGGTTATTATTGGCGCTGTTCATCGCGTATTACATTTCATGTTCGTTGACCATAAAACCTTCTGGGAAATTGGTAAGTTCATTTAAGTGGTTTCTCTCTGCAGATAGAGCAGTACTACTTGCTAATGTCTTTTTCAGTCTTTTTTGTAACCAGCATCGAGTGGTTGGAATCTAATCGTTCTTTTTTCAGCTGCTTCCTATCTATCACTTATCGTGTCTCACTGCTGTGGCGCTTTGCGTGATAGAATGGACGCTCACACCACCCGCACGATATCCCCATATTTTTCCCCTTTTCAACGCCATGTACAGCTGCGTTCATTTTATCATTTTTCTATGTTATTTTTACGTAGAAATGGCTTATAGCGAATATCGTCTTTGGGTTAAGAAAAGTGCTTAACATGTACTTTATACGGTGTACAGTATTTGTTAAGTCCGGTATCTTGCTATTTATGTGATTCTTCACGGGAGGTCGTTATTGTTTTGTTTGTGTTTGATAAACAACTGATTTCCGTATGTGTTGTTTCATGAGCAGGAGATGGAGAGCGTTCCAAATCCCAGCAATTCAATGGAATCTTTCTTTTATAAGCAATGAGAAGCCTTTCAACATCCTGTCATTTAAAGAGCACACTTAGGGGTACTATAATCCTTCCTGCTTTATAAATGCATTAAATCTGCTACTACCATGGAAAGTGGTTTTTTTTTACTCGATTTGTAGAACTAATCGGATTAATGTTTGAAAAACCGACTATCATTTAACCTCGGAATGACTGGTCAGTATGTATTCCTTCATTAACAAGCTAACACGAGATTGATAAGATATTTAACGTTTTGTTTTCTGCCTTCTATAATTTTCATGGCAGGTTACTAAGTAAGCGAAATACAACCACAACGTTGCTGAGATATTTGCAAAACTCTGGACCGCAGGTGTCTATGGTGGGGAACGAACGCGCTATTATCCTTTCCGGGGAGTAACGCGTTAGAGTTAGATATATTGGAAACGACCAAGTTTAAAGTAAATGAATAAAAATTAAGCACCAGCGATATGCCATAGTCCAATTGTGGTTCAATTAGTATTGCATGATGGACTAGCTGCAGTTGGATATTTACGAAAGAGATATGGAACTGGGCGACATCGACTTTAATAAAATAGGCTCATAGACAGAGTAAGACCATCTTTCCTGGCCTTGCTGCGTTAATCCCTCAACGATAAACGCTATTAATAAATAGACTTCTGAAATAGCTAAAAGAGGAAGGACATAAATTCAAGTGGTAGACAATTACTCATATTAGACCATAAAGTAGCTATAAAGTCCATGAGCTACCTATCCAGGTAATTCCATAACGCTACACTTGTCAAGCACTAATTATGAACATTTACGTTACCAAATCCTCGAGATGGGGACAGGTTGCGCAGTGGTAGTGGTGCTATTTACCGATAGAATGCACCGATTCGACATCGCGCAGGGTCCAGCTACCCTCCAGTACCTCCTAAGTTGGAAAATTAGTATCAGACTTTCTTAGAATGGCTGCGAACACCTGTGATAAAGATATGGGGACGTTCTAGCAAAGCTATCTCCAGATTCCAGGTATAATCAACTCATGTAGCACTCAAAGAAATTGACGTAGAGAATAAAATTCTCAAGCAACAGTGGAATCGACACATGAATTCGGAGACCTTCGAAGATGGTGGGTGGTTGGGAGTCAATCGAATACAATAAGTGCTGCGAATAGCGCATCATGTAACCTCGGGAGTTTGAAACGGAAAAAGATCTCCAAAACATGATATTTCGAGCAGGAATTGACGTGGAGGAAAAGACAATGTAAATCATACCAATCGAACTATTAAGTACGACAGGAACCGTCTCTTTATCTTGAGATAGCTGAAGCAATAGTGAAGGACTGAAAAAATAGTTTAAAAAGCCTTGTAAGATAGAGTCGCATAAGGTAAATCCAACCTAATAGTGAGTAAATCGCAGCCTATTAGGCCTTTAATTTGTTCAGTATTTCTGAAGGATGCCGCCATCACTTGAGTTTTGTATCCATGTTTCTTGTAGTAGTTGAAAATACGCTTTACACTCTAGAGAGAATAGGTCATTTTCCATCTCAATGCTTCCGATTTAAAAGGAAACCAACTCACCAGTACTCCAGGGTCACTATGACGGTCGTACTTCTTTCCATCGGTATTTTTAGCGTACCAATCTAAAATCCTACCCACAAAAGGCGAAATAAGGGTCACATTCGCCTCTGCACAAGCAACGGCTTGCTCGAAATTAAACAGTAAGGTCATATTGCAATGAATTCCGTGCTTTGACTCAAGTATTCTGAAATCTACCATCTAAGTCTAGATGGACAATCACCCAACGTTTATAAGGTAAACAGTTTTTTGAAAAAAAAAAGATAAAAAACCAACCTAGCTGCTTCAATACCTTCCCAAGTAGATGCCAACTTAATCAGAACACGTTCTTTTGAGATACCAAGCTTTTCGTACTGATCAATCAGAGACAACGCCTTTTCAATGGACGCGTTCGTATCAAATGACAGCCTAAAGAAATCAACGTATCAACTTATATTTAGATTCAACAGCAGGAAAACTATGCCAGATCCTACCTAGCATCAACTTCTGTCGAAACCCTACCAGGAATAAGTTTCAGAATCTCTTTCCCGAACACTACAAACAATCGATCCATTGCCAGCTCGAGCACCTGAACAAGAATAAGACAAATTTCCACACAGATAATAACTTAGGAATAGACCTGCGATGGAGTCTTGTAAGCCCCAGTCTCTTTGGCGTACGCTATTGACTCCTTAACTAGAGGAGCGTACTTCTCCATTTTCGAAGCACTCAAGATCAGTGAAGGATTGGTTGTCGCATCTGTGGGTAGAAACTCCTTCATTGCTGAAAAAAAGATACAGATACAAGAAGTAAAAAAACCATTAAAACAGCAATTGGACAGAAGAAAACATCTGTTCGTAATTATTGTCGGTTAAAGGATAAAGGATAAAGCTCCCGGCGATGATCAATCCCTGAGAGATGGGCCATGCATTCGACTTCATCAGGCATCGTTGGAGGTTACTGAATGCATATCCGGCCTTTGCAATGACTCGTGGTGGCCTATCGATCTATCTAGCCAGTGCTGCTCTCCTCCCAGACAAGTATGCTATCAACTTGCCGATCCCGAAGGGATGGAGGGCTTGGTGGCCCATGGGCCGGAGATCGATCCCGTGTGCACTGCACAGCATCTCCGACCACTGCGCTACACGTGCCCCAGTTTCTTGTCTGTAAGGAGAATTTACTAAAAGTTCTCATAGCTAACTCAGCATACGAGGAACTACGCTGAACCTTTACAAATATATCTCACCATTGAAATCTCCAGTATCGGCGACAACTGTCGTCACTTTCTTGAGCTGTTCCAGAACTGACATTCTGAAAATAAGAAAATATAGACTATCAGTAGTTCGTGAAGTTTCTTTCCGAAAGAAACAATACATTTGCTCAATACTCTGACAGTTCTAAAACATAGAACATGTTGGAAACGTGAACAGTCTCAATTCAGGAGCAATCACATGTCCAGAAAAAACACACATCGTGATCACGACATCCTTAGTAAGTACGTTATGGCTAAACATTAGTACCAACCAAATACAACAGTGAAAACCATAACTGTTTCAGATTCTACTCGCCTGAGGAATTTGGCCTTTGGCAAGAAATGCTAGGCTTAGGCACGAAAACGTGAAATTCCGAACTTTCACCTCTCCTCGTCTTCCAAAAACTATTGACTTGATTGTCAATACATAAGATCGAACTGGAAAGGACGCTGGAACCATTTCTGATACAACCTTGATGAATACAAAGTGAAGAACTGAATTATTTAGGGCGTTATGGTTGAGTTGATATTTCAGACTTTGTACCACTACGTCAATCCAACTAATCTGCTAAAAAACAACAGTGAAGACCGCTAGAAGCTGCAAACTCTCGAGTAAAAGTAAAATGAGGAAAAAGTACATCCTGGAAGCCATGAGTAACTAATACAGAACAAAAGATACGGTGCCCATACGTCATGGACGGATCAACATCTTTTCTCGACCGATTTGCAGTCATTCTACAGAAGAAACGAAGGAAAAACTGCGCTGAAATTAGTCCTGCGCAGATGTGGACCACCGTAGCCATCGGAGATGACACGTGAGAAAAATGTCTGGCGCCCAGACAGTTATCGATTAGGGCGTAATCTATCAACATGTAAAAATACACATACACGTATATAACATTAATAAAATAAAAAAAAGAATGAGTAACAGGTGTATGGGTCAATAAATAATGTTGGTTTTTATTTACTGTTTATTACAATTTTTCATGGCAGGGTATGACGTGAAACACAACCATAACGGTGCTGAGATATTTTCAAAACTCCAGAGAGTAGGTGTCTGCGGAGGGAAACGAACGCACTGTTACCCTTTCCGAAGGCTAACGCGTTCACCACCACACCATGCGAGTCCTTCGTTTCGCCTTTCTCTGTCGTGTTATTGACCTATCGGAACTATTAGCGCGCACAAATCAGCAGTGAACACAGTTAAGGCTATGGTATAATATATAATACAGGCTATGGTATAGATCACAATACCATCACTTTTTATTTACTACCTATTCCCGTTGATGGATGATTGCTGATAGCCCTGTAGGTCAATAACACGACTGAGAGAAAGGCGAAACGGTGGACTAGCATGGTGTGGTGGTGAACGCGTTATCCCCGGAGTGTAATAGTGTGTTCAGTCTCCACAGCAGACACCAGCAGTCCGGAGTCTTGCAAGCATCTAAGCACCATTATGGTTATTTTTCGGTCGTTGTTTGAAATCAACACAGAGATGTCCTGTACACGATGACGGCGAGAGAGACCGTCAGGCAACATTAAAAGCCGAATTGCTGACTTCTGGACGTTTTGGCAAAACCCTCGAAGAACACGAAAACGACAACTCGCATACGACGTTGAGAACAAAGCGCATGGTCAGCCAGTTTACATTATAGGGAGATGAAAAACACTAATTGGAAGTGGTAATTCGGGTTTTAGGACAGAGTGTCCACAGAGTTATAACTTAATCTGGTTAACAAGTGGTACCCTTTCTTTGATAGCCTAAATCCTCGTTGATAGAAAACTTTGTCCGTCGTTCTTTTATACAGGACGGTTGCTGAGAAGAACTGTCCGCTGATAATCGCTTATTTTTCTCCGGACAATCCATCGCGTGGTAATCAGTATCAATATCAACTGACATGGAGCGTAACAATATGCCAAAGGCCGACTTTTCTTTAACCTTGGCATGACTGTCCAACATGTATTCATCCATTGGTAACCGAACATAAGATTGATAAAAACCAGTGTACAATCGACTCGAATCAGAGAGGCTCTGAAAAAGGTGAAAGCGCCGAGACCTTAGGCGAATAAAGTATCTTATCAATCACAACGTTGCTGAGATATTTGCAAAACTCTGGACCGCAGGTGTCTATGGTGGGGAACGAACGCGCTATTATCCTTTCCGGGGAGTAACGCGTTAGAGTTAGATATATTGGAAACGACCAAGTTTAAAGTAAATGGATAAAAATTAAGCACCAGCGATATGCCATAGTCCAATTGTGGTTCAATTAGTATTGCATGATGGACTAGCTGCAGATCGCTATTCGCAGCACTTATTGTATTCGATTGACTCCCAACCACCCACCATCTTCGAAGGTCTCCGAATTCATGTGTCGATTCCACTGTT